TGTTAGGTGCCATTGAGTGAGTACTGACTCATAGCGACCTTATACACAGCAGAATGAAACATTACCCTACCCTAGAGGTATTTAAAGTAAAACAAACCTACAAGACTGAAAATAGGGAACTAGCAAAATCAATTTATAATGAACTCAACTATAAAGCAAGTAGAGGAAATTGTGTAGACACAGAACTTCCAAAAAGGCAAGAACCAATCCGACAACACTTAAAAACAAGTGGTACTCATGGAGTCCTTATGTGGCGCTGTAGAATAAGCACAGAACTTCTAGCTGCTTCTTGGAAACCCATATACAGTGTTGGAGTCAATTCAACGGCACTTACCAACAACAACATAAGGGACTCAAGAAACAAAGGGTATCCTTTGTGACTAGAGCCCAGTGAGTAAGTAAGCAAATTAGAGATAAATTATAACAAAAAGGCCTTGGAGATTATGAGAATATAGTATATTCCTTTATGTGTAACTTGTTGCATGCATACAGGGTAACTTTAGCATTCATTTGCTGCATAGTAATCAACAGAGACAACATTTTAGGTTGAAGGAAGAATGTGACATGTTAAATACATTGCTTTAGGGAAGTTTATATAGTGCAGTATACAGATTTGATTTGAAAGATAGGAAACCCTGGAAGAATCTATATTAAACCCACCATGGTGGGTGAGGGTCAAAATGATGATGGTAACAGTGGTTATGCTATTTCAGATTGAAGACAGGATTTTGTGGCTTTTTTTTTAGGAGTAGGGAAAAGGAAGAATCAAATATGGCAGCAAGATTTCTAACCTACGTATCTGAATAGCAAAAAGTATCATTAAAATATAAAACCTTCTAAGGTATTTGGCTACCACTCATCTGTCAGTTTGTCCTACTGTGGTGGCTTGTGAGTTGCTATGATTCTGAAAGCTATGCCACCGGTATTTTAAATACCAGCAGGGTCACTCATGGTGGACAGGTTTCAGATGAGTTTCCAGATGAACACAGACTAGGAAGAAGGAGTGACGAACTACTTCCAAATATTTAGTCACTAAAAACCTCATGAATAGCAGAGAAACACTGTCAGAATATAGTGCCAGAAAATGAGCCCCTCAGGTTGGAAGACACTCAAAATGTGACTGGGGAAGAGCTTCCTCCTCAAAGTAGAGTTGACCATGTTAATGCGAATGGAGTAAAGCTCATTTGCTGATGGGGCACAACTCAAAATGAAGAGAAACAGCTGTAAACATCCATTGAAAATTGTAACATGGAATGTACAAAGTATGAATCTGGGAAAATTAGAAGTTGTCAAAAATGAAATGAAACACATAAACATCGATAATCGTAGTCATTAGTGAGCTGAAATGGACCGTATTGGCCATTTTGAATCTGACAACCACATGGTTTACTATGCTGGGAATGACAAATTGAAGAGGAATAATGGTGTTGCATTCATTGTCAAAAAGAACATATCCAGATCAGTCATGAGGTACAAAGCTGTAAATGATAGGATAATATCCATGTGCCTACAGAGAAGCCCAGTTAATACCACTATTATTCAAATTTATACGCCAACCACTAAAGCCAGTGAGAATGAAATAGAAGAATTCTACAAACTGCTTCAATCTGAATTTGATCAAACATGGAATCAGGATGTATTGATTATTACTGGTGATTGGAATGCAAAGGTTGGGCGCAAAGAGGAAGGGTCAGTAGTTGGAAAATATGGCCCTGGTGATAGAAATGATGCTGGAGAACGCATGATAGAATTCTGCAAAACCAATGATATGTTCATTTCAAATACCTTTTTTAGACAGCATAACAGACCTCATCAGATGGAATACATAGAAAGCAAATTGACTACATCTGTGGAAAGAGACGATAGAAAAGCTCCATATCATCAGTGAAAACAAGGCCAGGGGCAAACAGTGGAACAGACTATCAATTACTCAAATGCAGATTCAAACTGAAGCTGAAGCAAATGAAAAGTCCACAACGAGAGCCAAAATAATGACCTTGAATCTATCCCACCTGAATTTAGAGATAATCTGAAGAACAGATTTGACACATTAAACACTAAAGACCAAAGAGCAGAGGAGCTGTGGGATGACATCAAGAACATCATACATGAAGAATTGATGCTTTTGAGTTTTGGTGTTGGAGGAGAATATTGAAAGTGCCATGGGCTGCCAAAAGAACCAATAGATACGTTTTTGGAAGAAGTGCAGCCAGAGTGCTCCTTAGAGGCCAAGATGGCCAAACTTCATCTCTCATACTTTGGACATAATTTCAGGAGGGACTAGTCGCTGGAGAAGGATATCATGTTTGGTAAGGTGGAGGGTCAGAAAAAAAGAGAAAGATCCCAAATGAGATGGACTGGCCAAGTGGCAGCATCGATGGACTCAAGCGGGGCAACAACTGTGAGGTTGGCCCAGGATCGGACAGTATTTCCTTCTGCTGTGCATAAGGTTCCTATTGGTCAGTATCGACTCGATGGCACCTAACAACAACAGCATGGTATTTGGAGTCCTGGTGTGGTGCTGTGGGTTAATGCGCCAGACTGCAAAGCTGTTTGAACTGCAAGGTCAGTGGTTCAAGCTCATCTGCGGCTCTTTGGAAACCCTATGCAGGGTCACTGTGGTTCGGAACAGACCTGCTGGCACTTAACAAAAGTATATTTGTAAACAAAGTACCAAAGCACAGGTGAGAAATTCAGTTTTATATTACAGTAATTCTTCCCTACTAGTGAATTTCCCAAGGAGCTCTGGTAGCGGAGTGGTTATGAATCGGTCTGTGAACTGCAAGATCAGCAGTTCGAAACTACCAAAGATGAGGCTTTCTGCTCCCGTAAAGATTTACAGCCTCGGAAACGCTGTACAGGGTCACTATGAGTCGGAACCGACTCCACGGCACATAACCACCACCACCAGTGAATTTCCCTTGTAAGAAATTTGTGCACACTATTTTTGTTTCAGTGTTCCTTCACAACTACTGAGAAATTTTTAGATCCCATAAATGTCAATTGTAAGTCCTTTCTGTTTCAGATAATGAAGAAAGAAGAAATTTAAGCTTGAGTATAGGAAAGGGGAGAGTTACAGCAGATTTTAATTATTGAATAGAGGTGTTTGCTAGAATGCCTTGAAATGAAAAAAGCAAAACGTCTTCTCTTGACACCTGCAAGACTGAAGAAGAGCTACAGTTTATAAAAAGGGGCAGGGTGTCATAGAGTTTACCTTCTAATACTAAAATTTAAAAGTAATTAAGTCTTTAACAAAGGGTCATACACAAAAGAGGGGCTGCCTTTCAATGTGATGAACAGCAGAGGGAAGTGAATGCTCAGTCCCCTTTTTCATATAAAACGTTTCTAGTGAGAAAGTAGAAATTAGTTTCTTTGCTACTAATTTAACAAACAAAACCCAAATCCACTGCTATCAAGTCTGTTCTGACTCATCTTGTTACGTGCCTTCAGATCAGTTCTGACTCACAGCAAACGTGTTAGGGTTTCTAAGAGTGGCTGAAGGCTTGATCCTCCGACCTTCACTTACCAGTCTGTTGCTTATCCTATAGCATCTCACCAGGACTTGTTAATTGCCGTTAAGTCGATTCCAACTCATAGTGATCCTTTTGTTTCTAAGGAGCAGCTAACTTTGTGGTTAGCAGTCCAGTGATTATTCTGTGTGCCATACCAGGACTTTGTCATTATTGTTGGTGTTAAGTGTTGTTGAGTCAGTTCCAACCCATAGCAACCCCTGTATAGAGTTTCTGAGGAGTGACTGGTGAGTTTGAATCACTGACCTAAAAGTTCAAACTGACCTTGTGGTCGAGTGCTTAGTGACCCTACATATGGGGTTCTAAGACTGTAAATCTTTACCAGAGTAAACAGCCTCATCTTTCTCCCGTGGAGTGACTTGTGAATTTGAGTTGCTGATAGCCTTCCAATCTTATTTTTTCAATGAGGTGGCATTGCAGAATAATGCGCTGGGACTGCAATGTCAGGTTGAGCCACAAGGTCTGTGGTTCAAACCCACCAGCTGCTCCATGGAAACCCTACAGGGTCATTATGGGTCGGAACCAACTTGGTACTTAACAAACAATAACAAAGTTCAGTTGGAAATTCATATATCATTGAGGTAGTCCCTAGAGCTAGATTTCTGCGTGTCATAAATTTATCAAGCTAAATTCTTATCCAGTTTATTTTATTTGCTTATTTATATTCCCGTTAAAAATCTTTTATTATGAGCAATTTTAAACATGTTTAAAAACATATAGTATTGTGAATCCCTCTGTACCTGTCACTCAACTTTGAATATTATCAATTCATGATCAATCTTTTTTTAAACCAGTAACTCCCACCCCCAGTTATTTGGAAATATAATCCCTCCATTCTGTTGTCTGTAAGTATCATCTTAGATTTGTACTGAGATTTCCCTGGTTACTTTCCTCATAGTCTTTTCTCTTTTTCAAAACAGTTTGTTCAAATTTGGATCCAGTCAAGATCTATACATTGCAGTTGACTGATAAGACTTACATTGTGTTTAATTTATTTTTAGCCTTCTTCCATCTTTTACCCCTTTGCAGTTTATTCATTATGTGTAGGAGATATATGCTGAAAACTATTATTTGTTAAATATTTTTCCACATTTTGGAGTTTGATGATTTTTGCATGCCCATAATGTCATTTACTTTTATTCTTCTGTTCCCATTATTTTTGGTGAATTAATAATTAGAATATTGGCCAATTCCTGATTCAGTGATTACTTTTAAGTGATTTTTTTTTTTTTTGGTTCATTCTTGAGAATTGTTGCCATCTTAGCCTTTTCTTTACTAAGTTAAAATTTGTTCTGAATTTCTGAATTAGAGAAACACTTATGTTTTGTTAGCCATTAATACCTTCTGGTAATATGCAAATTTTTTATAGCCGCTGGAGTTAGAGTTTGAATTATTTTGATTTCTGTATTAATTATACTTTAAAGAATTAAAGTATTTTATAAATAATTTTCACAAATTTTATTTTAATAGGTGGGAATTTGAAGAATCTGAGGAAGATCCAGTAACAAGTATCCCATACCAACTTCAAAGGCTTTTTGTTTTGTTACAAACCAGCAAAAAGAGAGCAATTGAAACCACAGATGTTACAAGGAGCTTTGGATGGGATAGTAGTGAGGGTACTAATTCTCTGATAATAAGTATTTCTAACATCAAAGGAATTCTGTCAGTCTATAATACTACAATACCGAACATGTTAGCAGTATCATTAACTTTACCTTATGCGTTGATTTGGTTTTTTTTTTTAAAGCTTTTATTGTGCATTGAGTGATAGTTTATATGTGAGAACATCAGTTTTGCACTCATCCTATCATATTTCGTATCATTGCAATGATTACAATCCCCTCCATACATCATCATTCAACAGTATTTCTTCTATTCCCTCAGTTTTTGGTTTTTTGTTTTGTACACCAAAACACTCAAGAACATAAATTATTTAAACAACCTAAGGTCACATTCTGCAAGCCTGCCTCCTGGTCACCAGCACACATCCTTTCTCTTTCCATGAGTCTAGAGTCCTTAGCTAGTCTCTGTCTCCATGTCATCATCTCTGCCTCCATCTTTGGTGTTGCTGCTTCTCTGGATAGGGTCCCACATTCTGTTCATGCTCTTCTCCCTTGATGGTAATCTTACATTCTGTTCCTGGTATGTAAGATTAGCTACTCCCCCCTTTATGTTAAAAAAAACTTCTACCTTTACTGTTGTGACAGTCACAGTTAGTCATAATAACAAGTTGTCATTATTGAATCATAAGAATCTTATACATTGCTTTTTGCTGGGTTTTAAAAGTAACTTGTTTTAAAAAATAAAGCTCTAAGTGGTAAATTTTTAATCAGTGAAACTTTGAAGCTTTTCTTGTAAAATGTGAGTATACCCTATAAATTGTTAGGCAGTTAAACTAATTTTTTTGTTGTCTGAGATTTTTCATAACATTTCTTAACTCTTAATTGATATATAAAAAAAAAAAATTAGTATTATACCATAAAGTATATGCTAGTTGTAAAATTCTGCCAGTTTACTTTTAAGTAACAAATTAAGTTGTTTAAATTATACTTTATTGCTCTTTCTAACTAAATTTTATCTTAAAATAGCTTGGCAGCAGCATGATGTTCAAGAACTGTGTAGAGTCATGTTTGATGCTTTGGAACAGAAATGGAAACAAACAGAACAGGTAATTCACATATCTAAAGGTGAGGGGAGCTCTGTTAGTGTGTGCAAATGAATTCTTCATTACCTAAAGTGACTTTTATTTTATGGAATGTTTTGAAACTTGGGCATTTGCCTTGTGGGTAGAGTACTAAATGGGGAATTGCAAGTACTAGATTCTCATTTAATCAATCACTTGAGTCATAAAGATCCTCAGTAAACCACCCGAGACCACAATTTCCTAACTTTCCTTCTAAAGAAATTGGGCTATATGAAGCTGGAAAGGTCTCCCATAGCAATTAAAGAAGCTATATAATCCAGCATTTGGGTTTATCAGGATAGATTTTAGAGGTTTACTAATAAACTGTATATTTAATAATCTGTAATACATTATAAAGTCCATTCATCAGGCATTTTTCTCATTTTGACCATAGAGGGATAGTCATGTGCCTTTGACACTTAGAATCCTTATTAATTTGACCGTATTCTTTTCTGGTATGGTGCCTTAGGATAATCACTCAATCTCAAGGTTGATTTGAACCTCAAATTTGACGGTTCAAACTCACCAGCCACTCCTCGGAAACCCTGTTATGTGCCATGGTGGCGGTTCCAACTCATAGAGACCCTGTACAGGGTTTCCAAGGTTGTGAATCTTTACAGGAGCAGAAAGCCTCATCTGTCTCCCGTGGAACAGCTGGTAGTTTTGAACTGCTGTCCCTGAGGTTTGCAGCCCGATTCGTAACCACTACCTAGATAGGCTCATTATGCGTTGGAACCGACTTAACAACCACATTCTTCTAGTTCAGTTGGAGGAAGACCAACTTGGGGTGGGGAAAAAATTAGACATATCACTGGCAGGGATATGGCTAAACTGAAAAAGGTAAGGATGATCTTGGGTGTAATGAGAGAAGATCGTAAGGACAAAAGAGGAAGTGTGAGGAAGGTAGCTTGGTGAGTCTGTTTTCTGATTGAAACTATTGTGATAACTTGACCAGAGTTTATCACACAGTAGGTTTTGATCCATTCATTGTTTTGAAATCAACATTTAAAATAAAGGTATAAAAAAATATTGGTACCGTATGAAAAAGGGTAAATACTTTTTAATGAAATTTTTATTACTGTTGTATATAATGAATTATGATATAAACTCAAACCCACTCCATCTAGTTGATTCTAATTGTGACCCTTTATAGGGTTATGGAAGGAGCTCTGGTAGCGTAGTGGTTACGAGTCGGGCTACCAACCTCAAGGTCAGCAGTTCGAAACTACCAGCTGTTCTGCGGGAGAAAGAGGAGGCTTTCTGCTCCCATAAAGATTTACAGCCTTGGAAACCCTGTACAGGGTCACTATGAATCAGAACTGACCCCACAGCACATAACAACAACAACAACAACAACAACATAAGATTATGGGAGCACAAAGTCTCGTATTTCTCTCACAGAACGATGGGTGGGTTTGAATGATTACCTTGTAGTTAGCAGTCCATTGCTTATCCTACAGCACCACCAGGGCTCCCAGATTATGTTATAGATTCTTTTGTTTTGTTTTGCTGTGGGTTGCTATCACAGTATTTGTAAAACATTGGTTTGAACCACTTTGAAATGTCCTCTTTGGTACAGAAGACATAGCCATATATGGCCAGGGCAGGTGAAGGAAGAACACTTTATCAAGTTATTAATAATACCAAAATAGAGAAGGTATAACATAGTTTGAAAACTTTTAAGTCCAAGCCATTTAAAAACTGTAACTTGATATAAGAGATAAACTGCAATTTGCTTTCCCTCTGACCTATTTTTACTTGAATGTTTTTTAAAAGTTAAAAATATAAGTTCATTGGCAATCTGGTTTCTCTACATATTCCAAATGGAACTGTGCTAATGTTCTATAGATGGCATTAGGAATTGTTTCTTGCCCCCATCTCTGTTGGTCAACACTTCCATTAAGATCATGGGGTGGCGGGGGCACACACTGAGTTCCCAATTTTGGGTTATAAAAGTCTTGAGGCAAAAAATTCACGTGGAAGGTCCTGACTTTATGTAAGGAGTTACCTACCAGTCTTCTTTGAACCAGAAGAGTCCAAGTTGGCTAACTTTGAGGGCTAAGTTTAAGAGCCATTCGTTTTTTTAAACTTAAAACTTGGATTCCTTTGATGGAGTAGCTGGTTTAACTGTTTCCAGGTTCTTACTGACTTCTCACCCTTGTGTTATAGTATATTATGTATTACCCTATTCAATTGTGGCTGTGATAAGCAGGCAGACAGAAAGCATGAGGAATGTTTTTCATTTATCTGTAGTATAAATCTTAGCAGCAGAGAGATCCATTCTTTATTTTGAGGGAGGTGGTTTTTAAGATACTGAATTCTCATACATTAAAAAAAATGTAGTTTTTTATTTTTCCTTAAAATTGCGTTATGTGTATTACTGAAGTTAAAGTTTTATTTCTACATTGAGTTAAAGGATATTGTTCTATAAAACTGAATATGTAATTGTAGAAATGGTAATATGTGTACATTAAGCTATAAAGGTAGTTACTTGGATTATAATTATCAACATGCCTAAAATGGCAAGATATGTTCCATACTAATGGAAAATTAATATGAGGAATGATGGCTGCACTTCATCAAGACCTATGTTAATAGTTCATGTTTTTTATAAGTCTGAGAATCAAAAAAGTTAATTTTTGTACATTGGCTTCTAAACTGGTGTTAATCTAATTTTAGTGATTTTTTTTTCAGTACTTTTTGTCAAGTCTTGATTTTTTTTCCTCAATTAGTTAAGTCTAGTAATAATTTAAGCTTTCTAAATCCTTAACTGTAAAAATCAATAGTCTCTTGAAAATCCATTTTAAAGGATAGGAGCTGTGTTTTCATATATTTTCAAATGTAAATGGTTTTAAACTAAATATTCTTACTTTTAGGCTGATCTTATAAATGAACTGTATCAAGGCAAGTTGAAGGACTACGTGAGATGTCTGGAATGTGGTTATGAGGGCTGGAGAATCGACACATATCTTGATATTCCACTGGTCATCCGACCTTATGGGTCCAGCCAAGCATTTGCTAGTGTGGTGTGTACCTTTCAGCTGACTGCTTGTGTATCTCTACACAGAATACATAATAGCACAGTGGTATAATTTATTTTAAGGTAAGTATCATCCTAGATACGCCTTCTTGGGTTGTTAGTCATTCCTGCGTTCAAACTAGCAAGATCTAGAAGATTTTTGACCCTTCAGTGAGTCCTAATAGTGCATGTCGAAGAAGAAAAGTGAATGCAAATGTTTGCCTTGTGGCTCAGTATTTTGCTCTTTTTTATAGGTAAAGATCAGACTTCTAAAAATATCTAAGCCGTCTAATTTATAAATAGTTTTGGGGGATAATTCTTTTTGTTTTTTAAAGGATTGCTTTGATCTGTGCACTTTTAAAATTAGAAAAATAACCTCTGATTATTATAACATTTTTGAAAGGGCACCCTTATTCTCTGTATTTAATTTAAAAGCAACACATTGTATAAACACACTTAATTTGAAGACTCAATTATATATTTATAGTTGTTAGGTGCCATTGAGTCGATTCCGACCCATAGCAACTCTGTATAGGGTTTCCAAGAAGCAGCTGGTGAGCTTGAACCACCTACCTTGTGTTCAAACCACTTTGTAGTCTGACAGATTAGTTATACTCAGCTAAAATTTGGCTGTTAAGTGCTGTCAAGTCGGTTCTGATCCTTAGCGACCCTGTATAATGTTTCTGAGGCTTTAAATATTCTTTGGAGCAGAAAGCCTGCTCTTTCTCCTGCAGAGCAGGTGGGCTCAAACCATGGACCCTGTGGTTCTCAGTCCAGTCCTTATCGCACAAAGCCACTGCATCAGTTTATATACTGAGTTTCTAGTTGGAGAATTATTTAAAACCATCTCATTTCTCCTCTTATCATTCATCCGTTAGCTGCTTTTTGATAAGTTTCTTGTTACTTTTTGAATGTATATTTAGCTGTATTGAAAATGAGCATTATAGAAGGAGTTAGGCTGATATTTAAAGTTATAGTATTCAGAAATACATATTTGAACTTATTATGTGCCAGTGCTAAATAAGGAAAACATTTAAACAAAGTATTATTTATCATTATTTTGAAAATTAATTATGCTGTTAGCAAATGAATGGTGAGTTTTAGCCAAAGTTAGTGGTTTTGAAGCTATTTCATACGTTATACTCTTTTTATAAAAAGTGCCAAAAGTATGGACTTTGGAGCTATTGAGTCCAGTTGCTTTTTTCTCCTGTTTTTATGTGATGTGTTGCTGCAGAATCAGCACTGGACTGTGAACCACAAAGTCAGCAGTTCAAATCCACCAACTGCTCCTTGGAAAGCCTATACAGTCGCTATGAGTCTGAACTGTTTCGAAGGCGTTTAACAACAACATCAAGAAATTAGCAGATAGTTGTAGATCCAGTCAGTGGAAATCCTAAACAATCAGCTAAGTACATCTCCTTTCTAGAATAGTCAGAGATGAAGCCTCTTCTCCTCTGAATAATATATTCAGAAAATAGACTATTGTTTGCACACAGTCTATTTTATAAATATATTTGATAAAATTTAGGACCCTTTGTAAGCTAAGCATGCTTGGCATGTTAAGTGGGCCTTAGTTTAAGTGACTTTTTTTTTTTTTTAGTGATATTTACTATTTTTTCCTACTATTTAACTTATTTTTTATATTTTTTCACGTGCACTTTATTTTTTTGTACATTAATTGAATGTTGAGGAAGCTTGTTATTTCTGTTGCCATGTTGGCATACTGGACAAGTGTAACTGCTTAGCTCAGTCTTTGTCATTCCTCATTCAGCTGCTGATTTGCCACCATTCCCTTGTTGTTGTGAAATGCCGTCAAGTTGGGTCCGACCCATAGTAACCTTGTATCGGGTTTCCAAGGAGCAACTGGTGAGCTTGAACCGCTGACCTTGCAGTTCAAACGACTTTGCAGTCTGGCGCATTAACCCACAGCCCCACACCATTCCCTTATGTGCATTATAATCACTGGTGGAACAATATGGAGGATACTTTCAGAGAAGTCAAAAAAAGTCACATTTCTAAATGGAATTCTCCAAAGCTGTTAGCCTTCAGTGATCCACAGGTGGTAGGATTTTTGTAGGAATTGGAAATTACAGTGATGAAGCAGTAGATGAGCAGGTTTATAACACACATGCACTAGTAGGACTTGTGGAAGGGAACTTAAATCTTCTTAGACTTTGCTGAAATTTCCTGAGGGCCATTACAGCAGGTGAAACTACCCAAGATAGCGATTCTAAGGAGGATACTACCGACAGAGAACTTTATTTAGAGGTAAGTGATTTCCATTATTTTATGAATTAAAAACCTGTAACTTTACCTTTCTTAGTACACAAAAATCATGACACAGCATCTAAAATTAGCTTTATATCACTGCTTGCCATTGTGTATTTTGTTAATGCTATATGTTTTTAATTAATTTGCTGTAAATGTGAATTGTTTTTTAAAAAACATTATAAAAATCACTCTGATTATATATGAATTGGAACCTCTTAAAGTTTATTGTTTTGGCTTTGTTAGTAGACTCTAGTGTTTTTCTGCCTTTTGGATACAAACACACACAGAACCTTGATGTCTGTATGACGCGTTTGTTGCTGTTGTTGAGTGCCGTCAAGTTGGTTCCAACTCATATCAACCCTGTATATGGTTTCAAGGGAACAACTGGTGAGTTTGAACTGCCGACCTTGTGGTTCACAGACCAGTGCTGATCCTGCAGCAACACTCCAGGAGTCCTATATAATCTGTTTGTTGTTGCTGTTAAGTGCCATTGAGTCAGTTCCGACTCATAGCAGCCCTGCGAAGGACTTATGTGGAATGGCTGGTGAGTTTGAACCACCTATCTTGCAGTTCAAACCAACCTTGTGGCCCAGTGCTTATCTTACAGCGCAACACCAGGGTCCCACATGATCTTTTTAGTAAGCCTTAATATTATTAATATATGTATCTAATAAAGTAACTGGATATGTATTTTCATACAATTAAGTGTGAAGTTTTGCTAAATGTTCAAGTTTTTGTTTTGTTTTGTTTTTTAACATTTTGAATTGAAGCAGGCAATTTATGGAGTTGTTTTCTCCATGGCCAGACAAGTTAATTTGGGAATAACATTTAAGATTAAAATATAAATAGAATTACCATTCATCTAATTTATCACTATAAAAGCTTTGGTAGTTTTTATGATCCTTTTCAGCATGATTAGTAGCAAAATTTTTTATTGAGTGCTAGGAGTGAATGCCCTATAATTTTAAAAAGAGGCTTTTCATAATAATACTTTTTGTATTTAATTATTTTAAAATTTAATTTTAACTATGATTATTATTGAAATTTACAGTCTTTGTTGTTTTCTGCTGTGGAATTGGTTCCCTGTACAGTGTTTCCGAGGCTGTAAATCTTTATGGAGCAGAAAGCCTCCTCTTTCTCCTGTAACCACTATGCAATATTTAAGGGCTCTTCTGCCATTTGTTTTTCTCCGATTATGTTCTGTTGAGTGCCAGTCTCTGAAAGGACTTATTTATAAGGAAGGCTATTTTGATTCAATAAATTTGGGAAACTGTGATGATAATCCTCTTTGGGAGATTCATAGTGTGTGTTAACATAGATTTATATGTTGGTAATGTAGTGGTTACGAATCGGGCTGCTAATCTGATGGTCAGCAGTTCAAAAGTACCAGCTGTTCCATGAGAGAAAGATGAGGTTTTCTGGACCTGAAAAGATTTACAGCCTCGGAAACCCTGTATAGGGTCGCTATGAGTCGGAACTGACTCCACGGCACATAACAACAACAACAATGCCATTGAGTCAGTTCTAACTCATAGAGACCCTGTGTAAGGTTTCCAAGAAGCAACTAGTGGGTTTGAACTGCCAACCTTGCAGTTAGCAGTCCAGTGCTTATCAATGCCACCTTCAGGACATTGCAGGGGAAAAGCCCTATTCAACATAATAAGACAAAAAGTGGAAATAAAAGACATAAACTTTTTTTGTCTTTCATGAACTGCAACTTATGCATAATAAGAATATCAGATGGAGAGAGGAAAAAAAAGAAGATGAAGATGTTTTCAAGAAATAAAATGTGAAAACATCCCAGATCTATTGAAAAATAATAATTTGTACATCTAGGAAGCTCAATATATTCAACTAGGTTAAATCAAAGGACCCACAAACAGACATATAATAAAAATATTTAAAGTTAAAGTCAAGTAGAAAATTATAAAAGCAGCAAGAGTAAAGCAAGGTTGAGTGCACAGGTAGAATAGTATGAAATGTTCAATGTTAAACAGAGTATAAAGACTGTAACTTTTTAAAATTAGGAGAACGGGGGAAAAATTAGAGTAAGATAATAAATGGGAAACAGATAATATACATACATACAGATAATAAATGGGAATACAAATAGATAATATACATACATATAATAAATACAAACAGATAATATACATACATACAGATAATAAATGGGAATACAAATAGATAATATACATACATATAATAAATACAAACAGATAATATACATACATACAGATAAAAAATGGGAAACAGATACTATCATTTTAAACTGGCAGACCAGACACTAAAAATTTAAGTAAGAATAAAGGGGAGCAAAGACACTAGCAGAAGTTGAAATGTAAAAACAGCTACTAGAATAAAAATGACTAGGTTTTCTACCAAAAGAAAAAAAATATTTTAACTAGCAAAGAGGCCACATTAATAGAAGAATACAGAAATATTACCTAATACATATAGTAATTGGATTCCTGGTATGGTGCTATAGGATAAGCACTGGAGTGCTAAATAAAAGGATGGCAGTTCAAACCCACCAGCTGCTCCTCAGGATTCTACTCAGGGTCGCTATGAGTCAGAATTGACTCCAATGTACCTACCAACGGTTGTTGTTGTCAGGTGCCATCAAGTCGGAACCGACTCATAGCGACCCCATGCACAGCAGGACGAAACAATGTCCGATCCTGGGCCAACCTCACTACCGCTGCCACACTTGAGTCCATCAATGATGCCACCTGG